AATGTATTGAAATTCGGCGAAGGTATAAGTGCGGTAACCCAAAATGTGTTGAGTTTGGAGGCGTAAAACGGTATTTTTTTTTTCTACAGATCTCTAAGTGTTGTGTTAGTTGTCTTGAAGCACCGTTTACAAAAATATATAGCTGTTAGAAAAATAATTTCTATTATTTCATTTACTTAATATTATTGAAAAAGAGTTGGTTCAGACCAATACTTCTTAATATCGTATTTCCCAAAGTATCGTTGAAAAAAAACTTGTTAATTGCATTAGTTTTATACATTTTCTCTAACGTTCTTTGGCAAAACCGTCTTAACTTCTTCACTATTATCAAAAGGATTGTTTGGAAAAAAATCATTACCTCTGAGGAACAGTTATTGAACAAGCTAAAATTATCACGATTGAATTCTATTAGCAAGCAATAGCGAGGCAATGGACCGGCTATATAGCTCGAAGAACCGACAACCGATGGGAGAAAAAGGTTCTCGATTGGCAGCTTCGTACCGGTAGGCGTAGTGTAGGGCGACCCCCCACTAGATGGAGTGACGACCTGGCGAGACATGCAGGAAATTGATGGATGCAGGTGGCACAGAAACTTGACTTGATGAAATGAATGATGAATGAGACTTGTGAAAGGCTGTGATGATGATGATAATGATAATGATGAACAAATACAGCGTTAAATACAAATACATTGGCGATATTTTGTATTGGCCAATGTATCCACATGGATGATGTTTATGTGACCATACAGCTAATACGTTTTAAATTCACCAAATACCTCCAATGTGCAGGCGGAATCGGTACACTCTGCTAGCAAACGATTGAGGTTGTGGTGACTGTTGCCAACGAATTGCTTTTGTAACAGTGTGCTGTAGTAGTAAAATATAAAACAACGCAAAAGTATCGGCTCTTCCTTGACCGAACATAAGTTCAGCCCGTAAAACATAGGTTCAAGTTAGTGCATTACGAAAAGGGGTATATCAAACGATCTAAAAAACCAAAGTAAACAAAAAGAAAAACTATACCAACATAAGTAATCGCAGGGAGTAACACAGTGTTTTGCATTTGTTCGTAATGCCTGTAAAACTTAGATTAGATACTAGTATTCCAGAAGTAATATAAACAGTGAATACTGCAGATTGATAGTTACACAGGCTGGTTTACGTAGCGTGTTTATATTATTCCCGCATGTGTTTCCACTCAGTCGAGATGGTTCACATATGGTGCACAATTTTGTAATACTCACTAACGTAGTTTATTGCTTATTTTACCATTTATATCTATCTCTAAACATAGTAAAAAGCTTTTAACTCAATTTACGCACATTAACGCCTTTTAAATTAAGTAAATGGTTTTCATAGTTTTAGTTGAATAATTCTTAAATAAATGTTAGAGTAAATCATCACACTCATTGTAGAGAGAACCCCGTGTTTAGCAACATACTTTTACTTTTGATAAACAAGAATGAAGGAAATTGTAATCTGAATGAAAGGGTTTATGGAATATTTAATCTTACACATTGAAACTATTTAAATAGAAAATATGATTCTAAGTATTATATTATTCAACAGGTTATATAATATACTCTAATATAACTATATAACATACTTTATATACAATGTTTTAACTGGCATGACATTTGAGAGCTAGATACAGGATTTGCTAAAATTGTTTCCTGAAGTTACATGGTTTTATTTAGAATGTATTTCATTCTTGCATATTGCATACATTTTTTTCTTTACTGGTGAAACACTTTACATTGCCTGAAAGCAAAATACACAAATAAGTGATAGTTTAGTTCCTATCCCTATAGACTGATTTTGACAGAAGTTGTTTAATGAAATTCGGATTGTTTAATAAATTTGTAAATAATTTTTACTGGCTCCTATAAAGCAGTGAAAAAAGCAACATAGTTTGTTATTGTTAATAATTTAACATACATGTTGTATTGATGTTATTATGTACATTGCTTCAATAAATAACTAGTGATGCGACGAATACGAATATTCCTATTCGCCTAATAGTAGACATTTACCGAATATTCGTGTTCGGCGAATACTAATCACGAATATTTAAAAACTAATATTTTTGTACGCAACTCTAATTACTGGCAGATTTTGAAAACGCGCTTCGTTGGCGCGTAAAGAATACGACGTTTGCATAGGCCGTAAGCCGCAACGACAGCTACATAAGGGCACGGGAGTTATTACTCATATTAACATTCAAACAACTGGAAGATTCACAACAAGCTAATAATATACCGAAATTTGTTTTTTTTCAAGAAGTTGAAACCAGACGGGACTCAACATATCAGGTATTGAAGTGATTACATGAACAACGCATAGCGATTTAAAATGTTTTACCATCTCTACCAAATTGTCGTCATGAAATCGCAGCAAGGCAATGGGCTCTTACGAGCCAAATTGTTGATATTCTGGCCCATTATGAAGAAGCTACAAAAGAGCTAATCAACTACATTATCTCAAGCAATCCCAATAATACGAAGTCTTAAATCTTGCCTCTGATCCATTGGCCTTTTATTTGGCGAGAAGATGTCCATTTTCTAAGGCTAAAAACTCGCCCAAAAATATTTTTCGCTGAAACCATGTACAGTCGCCTCGGAAAGACTTTTTTCAATGTCTGGGAAAATCCAGACTCAAAAAAAGAAATCGCCTAAAACCAGAAAATCTACAAACTTTATGCTTTTTAAATAAAAAATTGCCTGTTGTAAATTTTAATTATTAGAACAATAGAAAATCATTAAATTGATTAATTTTTCATTACCATGGCAAGATATTCGTATTCGCCAAATAGTAGGTTTGATATTCGTATTCGTAAAAGTTAGTATTCGATGCATCACTATAAATATGCAAAATTATTTTTTACATATGGTATTTTAAAAAATAAAACCAATTTTCATGTGAAGTGATATGTGTTACCACATAGTCAAATTTTGTCAACTTAAATTAATAAAATTAAATAATTTTAAACGTCTATAGATAAAACACCATAATATAAAATTATGTAGGGAGTGAACTTGGACTTTAGCATACTTATAAAATTTACAGAAATTGCCTTCAGAACATTAAACTAAAAATACTTTATGATGTGGGATAATGCAATCAACAAAAATATGTAATTTCATTTACATTTTCAGAGCATTGTTGATGCAAGTGCATAGAAATACTAATGTGACTGCTCGGAGTGGTTGTTATGGGAAAACCTCCAGTGATGTGTGCCAGCTGTCCCTTACCTCTGTAAAACGCTAGCTGTTAAAAATAATTTATATTTTATTTCATTCTTAACATGTTTATGTTATTCCTTTGTTGAATTTAAATCAGATTCCGTTGTCCCTTTTTCATAACAGTACCTGGATGACCGAGCTTTGCTCGGTATTTTTTTTGGAAATCGTGTGTTTTGAAAACTATATTTAGATACAAATTAAATAATGATGAGACATGAATAATATTTTTGATCTTATTGACATAATAGAAAAAACTGAATTGGTTATTTGAATAAAAAATCGTTAGTGCAATTAGTTTATTTCAAATTTTTGAGTTCTTAAAAAAGTACTAAAAAAAGGCTCGAAATAATAGATTTTCTCACAAAAGAAGGGAACTTGGAAAAAAAAGGAAAAAAAGTCGGACCGGAGACAGGACTTGAACCAGGGTATTACGATTTCGCGACCGCCCGATATCCTACTATTACAGCTATGACACTCATTAACACTCTGTCAAAATTTACCTTTTTTATTGTAGCAGTTTTTCATTGCCTGAAAACACGGACAAAACGACATTTTCTAAAAATGAAGTTAGATCGATTTATTGCCCCTGAAACCCACTGGACACTAAATTTTATGAAAATCGTTGGAGCCGTTTCCGAGTTGAATTTTAGTTCATTAAAAAAATATTGTACCAACGCCTAATTAGGAACTAACTACCTAACTAGCGATCCGCCCCGGCTTCGCATGGGTGATTTATGAATCTTGACAACCCACGTGGTCCAATTGTGAATCTAAACCATCCAGGGATCCACTCAAACGCATACAAAAAAATCTCATCAGAATCGGTCGAGCCAGTTTCGAGGATTAGCGAGACAAATGGACAGCAACTGAGAGATTATTAAGACTAAAGATTATAGACAATAACTAATACTGTGTTGATAAAGATTTTTTTTATTTAAAGGTCATTTATTTGACCTTAACCTTTATCTTAATGCCTTACACCCTAATCCTGACTTATACCTAGTAGAAGGTTTTTACGTGGTAGGTGAGAAGAGACCTTTTAGAGAGGTGATTCATTGGGTATGGTCGTTTTCAGCCTATTCTATAAAAAAAGATTGGCAACCGCATTTTTGTAATATTATTAGTTATTATCAGGAGGATGCTTTTTTTTTTTGCGCCCGAAGCAAATATGGGCAACCCTCCGGAAAGCGCGGGAGGGATGTTGGGAATGCTCATAGCATACCACGCAGCCGGCGGCGTGGTTATGTGGTGACTTTTACCCACTAAACCCAACCTTTTAGGAATTGGCTTAACGATCTGACTAGAGATCTCTAAGCCGTATACGAACGCGACCCTCCTTGGCAGAAAGGAGGGCGCAAGGAGGATGCTGCTGCTCACCTTCTGTTGCATGATCCACGGTCGCCTCTTACGGCACCCACGGAATGCTAATATGGGGTAGTGGATACGACTGCGCCGACAATTTACTGTCTACTTTTCTTAATAGTCTATATTATAATTAATTATTTTTTAATATCCAAGTATAGTTTGTAAGTTTGGATGTATTGTTGCTCAATTATGCTAGAAAAGCTGATTTATTTGAAATGTGTCAGGAAGATAGATTATGTTGTGGAATAATGACTTTTTGATCTTAATGCTCAGCAAAGTGGCCTTTGTATTTACTATTTCCTCATTTACTTTATGTGGGTGATTTCTAAACCACATTTTTTTTCTTTAAATAAAATGTGCCATAATATGTGAAAATTTTCTTTGGTTGCAGTGAAAGAAGGGAACAGGAGCAACAGGCGATGCTGGAAAAGCAGCAGAAGGAGAAGGAGAGAGAACGGATAGAACGAGAGCGTGAGAGAGAACGCGAAAGGGAGAGGGAGAGAGAAAAACAAGAAAGGGAAGAAAAAGAAAGGAGGGAACAAGAGAATGCTGCATCAAAACTTGTTTCGAGACATTTTGAGGAATCTCTTAGGCTGGCTAATCAAAAGGTTATTGTTATTTTAATCATATTACAACAAAATCAATATAAATAAAATAAATTTACCAAAAATATCTTCTTTGTACATTTATTGTAGGATAATAAATAATTAAATATCTCTTAAGACAGCTCGAACAACAATTTTTTACTCTTATTTTTAAGTATAATATTTTTGTTTGTTCATTGAGTATTGTATGTGTTTTATAAAAGTTGTTTTCTTTAACAGCGGGAACGCAGTATGTCACAGCACGCCGCTTCGTGGCCCTTATTAAACAGCCTGTCGGGCCGCGGAGTGGGGGCAGTTGGTGGGGTCGGTGTCAATGTCGCGGAACATGAACGATTGCGTGCCCCAGACGCGCGGTATTATTCACCACCTGCCGACTACAACCCACATGCACCACGTCATGCCATCCCTAAACCGGATAAATCCCACCCAGGCCTGCCCAAGGGAGAGCCCAACTTTGCCCCCTACAATTATCCTCCTTATAGAGGCTACGAGAAACTTAAGGATCAGCACCTTCCGGCGCCGCCGCCTCTAGTCCCTGAAAAGAACTCTGTGATAGTGAAGCACGATGCTAAGCAAATTCATCTCGAACAGAAACATCCGTACCCGAGCAAGCCGCGGAGCGAACCGTCCCATTACCTGCCGCGGCCGCACCGGACAGGACTGTCGCCACATGCGCCGCCCCACCCACACCAACATCCGGCACTCCAGACCTCGCCGCACGCAGCGTTACCTGCACAGGATAAAACTCGACGGATGTACCAACAACCGCAGCGATCGCCGGCCTACTACCAGGCGGCGCCGGCTAAGCCGAAGGTATCAAGTCCAGCGCCACCACATATCTACGGAAAACCAAGCAACTCGCCTAGTCCTGCACATTACACTATCGCTGTTGAGCCGCCACTGCAACTAACGAAAGCGGAGCCACCTCCAGTGCCGTATCCGCCACCATCCGCGTATTCGCCCGCGCCGCGAACGCGACCACCTCCAGTCGCGCACTGTCGGACTACACCCGAGCCTCGTGCTCCACCTCCTCGAGCGCATGGCGATCAAGCAACACCTTCAATAACCGCATGTCAAACGCAGCCTTTAGACCTTGGCATCGCGCGCGACGATCCTGATAGATTGTCGCCACGGCGGCGCTATCCATTTGAACCGGCTGATGCGGATGCGAAAAGGAGAAGGATCGACGAACTACCGGCACCCGAACCGTTAATCGCCGCCGCTGCTAGCGTCGGACGAACGCCCCTCGGGTCCGAGCCCGCTCCGCAGGCGCCGGGGCCGCCTTGTGATGTGCGCGTTCCGTCCGCAGATGGAAGCGTGGAAACTCCAGAAAAAGCCGCTGGAGCCTCGCCCGCACCGCATATAACGCCGGTAGCGAGCCCCGCGCCTCCCACACCAGTACCACAAGTATCCGTGTCTCCCCCCATGACGGCACCAACGCCACCAGCTCCACCAGCAACGCCCCCAGTCACCCCGCTTGCCGATAGCGATACTCCCGCAAAAATCGCCTCCCCGAACCCGCGTGACAACAGCGCACCCGTGCGGCATTTGGGCAAAAAAGCCTGGCTCCAGCGACACGAAACCGCGCCCATAGGTGAAGGCGACTGTTCTGGGGGCGGCGGCACGTGTATCACCCTACCCATGACCATTAACCGCGCTTCCGAACAGGAAGATTCCAGTTCCAATATAGTAGTACCGGTCGCTGCCAAGTCGATACAGCGCGGTGCCCGCAAAACGTCCAAGCCCCGGAAACCGAAGGAAACTAACGGACGGGTCGATGATGCTGAGGAGGACAGCTCTAGTTCCGATCGTGAATCGAACGCGCCGCCGAAACGAAAGCCGCCGAAAGCCAAGCGGAAAAAAGGTGGCTTGCCGAGGAAAGTCGGCGACGAGCCGAAAAAGAAGAAGGCTTCCGAAAGCGGGAGCGATAGTGATAAAGAGAGCGATGATAAAGATTCGGATTCTGCAGGAAGCGGGAGCGGTAGCGGGGTAGAGTCTAGTAAACGTGGGGGAAGCAGCCGAGCCCGTGGAAGGCGATCTAGGGGAGGCGGCCGAGGGGGCAGGCGGAAAGACGAGAGTCGTCGTACCCCTTCGTCGACCGTTCGTCCTAGCACCGAGTCGTTTCTCCAAAACGGCCCCTGCTTCGAAGTAGCCCCTCGCTTGGCCAAGTGCCGCGAGTGTCGATGGTCGCCCGCTCAACGGGACAAGGACATGCCAAACATATTCTGCCGTTTCTACGCGTTCCGAAGACTGAAGTACGCAAAGAACAGACAGCTTGCCATTGCTGGGTTCTCCGATCCATATAAGGATGCTGAAGAGGTAATTATGTTATTATATTAACACCCGGTATAGACATTTTTTGTGAACTTGTGAAGTTCGCCAACAAATACTGGGGTAGTGCGACGGTCTAATTACTTCATAATCTCAGAAATGAGAGGAGGGCTGTGACGTGTATGTAGGCTGCAATACCAACTATATAGGTACATTTTAATATATTTAAAGATTTTAACGTGACCTAAAAACAAACAAGGTTTCGCAAAATTTAAACAAACCTTTACTGAGTTTTCATAATAGTAATAGTGTTTAAACTTTCTAAAGTCAGTTAATAATTATTTCATATTAATCAATTTTCATATTAAACTGCTACCTATTAATGACCGATACGCAAAAGCCCACGGTCTAAGGTATTATAACATTATGAAAAGCGAATTCATCAAAGTGGGAAGGAAAACATTTCGTTATCGTTTCATTTCATCAAAAATCCACTACTGAACACGGGCCTTCCCCATGGATTGCCTCATGTGGGCGATATTAGCTATAGTTGCCATGCTTAGCGGGTTGGCAACCTTATCCATTTCACAGTTGAAATTAATGGGAATTCTGCTAAAACAAATTACTAGAGATGGGCCGATTATGGATTTCACCGAATAAGAATATTCGGCCGAACATTATTCGGCAGGATTACCTCGGTACCTAACCAATTTATGTCGAAACTTGTTACCACCATTAGCGCCGGATCCTGCCTTGCTCCCCCGCCACACCTGACATGTTATTGCATCTTCTAGTACTGAGCAAATTGCCCGTACATGCTGATGTTTTGACTATTTTTGTGAAAAAAAAAGTATTTCGTTGTGTTATTCTTAGTGAAAATTCATAATTATAAGATAAAAAATGAGTGGCAGAAGACTTATTATTTTGACTTATTTTAGAGAAACTGACGTCCAAAGTACTAATGTAATGTAATGTTTCTCTGTCTGATTCCAAAAACATTTTATCAAGCTTTCTATTTGCTATAATTGCAATTAAATCTACAGTGCCTCCAAAACATAACACTATAGATTTAATCCATAAATAAAATATACTTTCAACAGTAAAATTATGAAAGACATGGCATTACTCAATTCCTACATTTCGATACAGTGGACACTTTAAGTACTACTTTAATAAATGTTCGGTGATATTCGGCTGCATATGAATATTTGATAAAGCTGCCGAATATGCTTAATACCGAATACGAAACGAATATTCGACCCATCTCTACAAATTACTTTAGTATTAGTAGTATCGTACGGTTGGCTTCCATGCGATTGTGGGTAAGCGGATAGCATTCCTGATATCGTACGAATACGAAATAGCACGAAAAGTCTCTTTAAAACATTTGTAAGGCACTTTGTCCCACCGCTAAAGATGAACGAGAAGCAAGTAGAACTAGAAACTAGATAAGAGTTGGCGAGCAGCGAGAGGCGGGTGTGTAGCAAGTGCCTAGATTACTTAGTTATCATTTATGAGTATGTGAAAAAACAATGGACAGAGAGATCTCTTCAAATTATAAATACTAATCATAGTTTATATTTTGTAACCTATATTGTTTAAAAAAAAGGTATTATTATTATTGATCAAATATTGTGACATCATTTGCTAAATAATTTTAAAAACTCATCATTTTTGTCTTTTTTAGGAGGATAGAAAACTATGGCTGTCGTCGTCTGCCGGCGCAGCGGAATTAGATATTGAGATGAGCTGCTTCCTGTTGCGGGAGATTGGTGATCAGTTCTGTGAACTGCTACAACAAGAGAAAGAAGCGGAGTCCCACCATCTTAATGAAGGTACGGGTTTTTAAAGAAACTAAATGTCTATATTAAATTTGAACCAACTTCAAAAAGAGAAGTTTTAAATTGAAGTGATAAATCAGATTCTAAGATTACTTTAGTCTTGTTTTAATTTTACAAAAATTCTACGTATTTGTTGGCAGATAAGACTATAGCGTGGAAGCGTGTAGTTCAGGGTGTTCGTGAAATGTGCGATGTGTGCGAAACAACTCTCTTCAACTTCCACTGGACTTGCGGAAAATGTGGCTTCGTTGTGTGCCTCGATTGCTATAAGGTAAATAACCAAATGAGCTTAGCAAATGATAGATTAGTATGAACGCAAGCTTATATAATGACATGCTCCATACACGCGAGCTAATTAAACACGCATGGGTCTTTTTTTTTCAATAATTTGACTCAAAATTATTATTGTTGTTACATTTTATGTATGCTAATTTTGTTACAATCTTTTTTTTTAGTCGCGGACATCGGGTGAATCTGGCAATACCAACAGCAGCGAATCAAGTAGCGCAAGCAATGCTACCACCAATAGCGAAAGAGATACTTTCGGGTAAGTTTGAATATATTTAGGAATAAATAATATTTTAATGAATGTGTGTCTTTAATGAAAACCAGACTCAAAATTAGGGCAACATTGTATTACAAAAAGTAGTTTATAATTAGGTTTTTATTTTATTTTATAGGATAGAATGACAAACAAGCACACAGTCCACCTGATGGTAAGTGGTTGTTGTGGCCCATAGACATCTACATCTATCTTCGATTACGAATCAAAATGCAGTTGCGTTGTCATCCGTGAGGACTTGGAATGCCTCGTTTCCAGTAAAAAGGGTCTCCAGTTCTCTACACTCACCATACGAAACACAGCAACATTAAGCTACCATTTGACGATGGTATTCTGTGAGAGCGTGGTCTGTCCCCGGTTGAGCCTACCCATTCATGCTACAGCTATACTATTAATATAACTGAAACATGGCTCTACCACGTTAAAAAAAATTCTAGGACCTGTTTTTTTGAAGTGGTTCCATGTAAATGTTTGAATATAAATACTTAAAATTTGTGAGATCATATCAAATTTCTTGAAAATAACTATTTAAACCTGAAACTATCACCAACCTCGTGTTCTCTTGTAGTAAGACTGAAAGGGTTTCGTAAAACTATATGTTGAGGTAAAAATGCAAACAGGAAGACAAACTGATGGTATGATTCAATCATAACCAAAGTGAATTTATCCATTATATTTTATTTTTGTAACTTTGTATACTGCAGTTAGATCCTATACATTGATTAATTCAAGCAGGGTAAACAAAAAAGTCAGTCTTCAAGTTACACATTTTAAATATTTATTTCCCTTTTTTATTTATTATAATAAAACGGTTTTATTAAAAATATATTAATATAACTAATACTCCCGTTAATAACTCAAACCAAGTTTTAAAACGCTTGTGTTAAGAGTGGTTCACGAGTTCTCGACAGTAGTTGAATGGCGGATTCGACCCCACGAGTTTGCAGTACGAACTTTTACAGTAGTACAATTAAAAGCAATACAGCATAACAGTTGCGAAACGAAACTACGAGTTAATAAATGAATATGTGTATAATAATATTCAAAACTATTTTATTCCAAATTTTGTGACACAGGTTACGGTATCATCGGAAATCAAAGGTGTTCCTAAACTGTTATACTGTCTTAATGTGCGGTGCTATTAGATTGATATCGCTTTGAGTTGAACGACTGCCTCATTGGTCTAGCGGTTGTAGTAGTGCGACTGTATGAGGTCCTGGGTTCAAATCCTGGGTCGGGCCAAAAAATCTATTGAGTTTTTCTCTCAAGAAATTCTCAGTAGCTGCCCGGAGTCAGGAAGTTACCCCCGTTCCTCGGAAAGCACGTAAAGCCGTTGGTCCTGCGCCTGATCTCTCTCCGGTCGTGTCGGTTTACCGTCCCATCGGATTATGAGAGTGAGGGAATAGAGAGTGCACCTGTGCTTACGCATACACTTGGGCACTATAATCCTGTCCTGTGCCGTTGGCTAGCCTCCGTTGAGGCAGGCCGCCGTGGTTACCCACGTCTGAAGGACATTATTATTATTATTATCGCTTTGAGTAAGAGAGCTTGTTAAGTGCGTGGGGGTGTGTATATTGCAGATGGCTGACGTGCACGTCGGGCGGTGCGCACCCGGCGCGGCGGCTGCTGCTGACGCAGATCGCGCCGGGTGGCGCGCTGGCGGCGGCGGCGCGCCGGGCGCACGAAGCACGCGCAGCCTTCGCGCTGCCCGCCTGCGCCTGCGGACACACCGCGCCCCCGCGCCCCGCGCACCGCGCGCGCGCCAAGGCGCTACTGCAGCGCGCGCTGCACAAGGTACGCACACGCACGCACGTGTGCACTGCGACACACTCGAACACGCACACATACACAAAAGCGAATTATTAAAGTCGTTGTAATAAAAACTATGGCTGCCGAACAGTTTGCCAAACGTAGCAATTATGACAAATATACCCTCCCATACGAGGACAATCTATAGTAAGGGATTGTGTTGGCAGCGGACTTTAAGTATGGTGTAATGAGTAAATGATTTTATATATATATATATATATATATATATATATATATACACATATATATATATATCATGCCGTCGTCTATGAGTCGTCGTCGGCCATGAGATGGCCTTAATCGCTCTTTTGGTGCTGAAGCAATCTATATGGAGGTTCTATATGGAGCAATCTATATTAAGATTCAGGTAACGGCATGGAATAAATACTTCAAGGAACAGAAGGATCACTCTCTGATAGCGAGCTTAAACCTAGTTAAAACGTTGTTAATGTTCATAATACTTTGCACACCTCGGAAGTGACCTTCGTGAAATTAGCCTACCGATTAAAGCGTCGAAAAAAAATGAGGCGTGCGTATTATATTAAAATGCATCTTACGTCTCCGTGCGAGTGTCTGTGTCACACTTAACCCGTTATGCGTTTTTGTTAAGGCCGCACCGCAAATTGAATCCTTTGATATTAGTTCGTAGTGGAATACAACGAGGTGTTATGCAATGTATGTGATGTATTAGTAATTTGCATGTATGCAATGTACTAGTAATTTGCTGATAATAAGAACATTAGTGTTCAATGTGAGGAATGTTCACATGCAACATATAGAAAAATTATAGATTATAACAACATGAAGGCCTTTGAAACTCAGGTAAATTTACCTACTTACCATTTTCCGTTTTAAATTTTATTTTTGTTATTTACAAACATGCGACTGCGATTAATGAGTGAGTGGCAATGCGAAGTGCTACTATTTTCAATATCTTTATTTTATCGACCAAGTGCTTAACCAATAACCAGTATAATATGCTGATCTTGCATTAGTAGGCAGTAACTAGTACTGGGAGGTCTAGTTACACTGAACGATTGTTTAAAGTTATTGACATTATAATATGCAAAACAATCGAAAAAGTTGTGGTCGGGTCGCTAGTCAAATAATTATCTATACATACCTATAAATAGTATATCTTAACTTTCGTTATACTTAGGAACACTTAAGAATGAAAAATCCACATTCCTATTGTTATTTAGGCACCCATATGCTATGCAGTACCTTTTGGCTTTTTGGGTGGCCATACTTGAATAAAAACTCAATAAATATCAAAGTGCCTAAATACTTGAGAAAAATACTTTTTTTGTCAACGCAACTGCTCACTACACATGCGCTGAATAAAACTAAATTCACGGATTTAGCCTTATGCGCCGCGGTTTATTTCACTACGTCGGTAATTACTTATTTTTTATTCCCGACGTTTCGGGTGGTTTATAGCACCCATGGTCGGGGGGGGGGGGGGATGAGAGGTTTCGACGTCCCAATGTCATAGTTAGTCCGGCTACTTTTATTAATCTTCGTTCTACAAACAAGCTTACAGCGTTTTTTGAATATGGTAACGCATCAATCCTGGTAATTTTTGGGCCGATTGACGTTTTTTAACAAAAGCGAGCTTTATAGTACTCATGAAGTCTTGCAGTGGTATGGTAGTGTTACAACCCACAACCTGCACGCATATTATAATACGTAGTTAAATATAAAGCATAATTCGTAGTTGAAGACAAGAAGTTCGTAGACAAGTAGGTAGAAAAACTCCTCCAAATCGACCCAATAGATAATTGTTACAATTTTGTGAAATCTAAAAGCGTATTTTTTTTCTAATTTCCCATTGCAGTCTGCGTGATAAGTAGATTGCCTCATGAAGGAATGTTTGCCATAGTTGCCACGCTTGGCCCACGGTTGGTTTGGCAACCGCAGTTTTTTTGCTCTTATTAGACACCCACGGGTTGATAAAGGGTAATGAATATTCTTACACTGCCATTACACGGTTTCACAACTTATCATTACATTATTGTAAATTTACTTGGCAATATGAAAAAACTACAAGAATAATTTTCTTTTTGTCTACAGAATGTTAAGAAAGAGGAAGTGAAAGATGAGAGCCCAACAAATGGTTCGTCACCAGTGAAATCAGAGAATGGTAAAACAAGCAGCTCAATAGTTAGCTGGTTATCTGATATACCCATGAAAACTGAGACTAAAGAGGAGAAGTCTGACAGCAGTTCATCGGACTCCGAAGAAGGTGGAAACTTCTCGACTTTGAGAGAACTTCTAATAAGACCTGCACCTGAAGGAGGCGAGATGCAACCGAAGAAGAAACAGAAGAAAAATAAGGGTGACTTGTTGGACGACGTAATATCTAGCGTTGTGGAGGAAAAGAAGGACGAAGATGGCGAGGTCAAGCCATTTGCTTTGTCGAATGTAGTGAAGCGTTACGACAGAGTTGGCAGAGGTAGAGATGAACTTCCTACCCGCATAATGACACTCACTGAATCCAAATTACTCTATCCCGATGTGCCGCATTCTTGGCTTTGCGATGGAAAACTATTGCACCTGACTGACCCTATGCATACTGGCAACTATAAGCCTTTCCAGGTAAGAAATTATTGAATTTCAGTTCATAATTATATAATTATTGTGTTTTATGTTCTTTTAAAATGCCCCTAGAGTAGTTTCTTTATCTATCAAATTATTTCTCATTTGAAAGTTGTTTTTCTTATTTAAACCATGTTTTGGTTAGGTCTGAATCTGATTCTACTGCTTTTAAAGAGATTTTTTTTTTTTTTTTTAAAATTTTTTGTTACTTAATTGAGTATTAGACTGTTAATTTCAATTTTAAATAAATTTAAAAGTTTTTAACAGTTTTTGAACCAATTAATTAAACTTGTGAATGGCCATTTAAGGGGAAGATTATATTATGTTTAGATACACACCCACATCTTTTTCATATTTCATTTATTTATTTAAATATATAAACTGATTATAGATCAAAGGCTTGTCGATAAAATATGGTATATAAACTTTAATATCCATAATTATTTACATACAATATAAGGTCGGGGAAAAAGTTTCTTCGTTTTATATACAAATTCGAGACATTTTTTCCAAAGCCTAATTACATTTGATTATAATATATATGTGCCATTTTGTTCGATAACTTGTTGCCATCTTGTAGGTAGTGACATAATCTTGTTGCTGTAAAAATCTTGAGATTTTTGATCAAAAAAATGCGACAAGTAGTTTTGACAGTCCTCTCTTGATGTTAACACTACCTAAGGAATTGTGAAGAGACCGAAACAGGTGAAAATCTAAGGGTGCAAGGCAATTTTTGCTGAGTGGCCAGAGATGTTTGTGGTCTTTTCTGTTGACCCATTCCGGCCGTTTCTTACAAATTTCTTGCTTGAGTCTCATTAGTTGTTGGCAATAGAGATCCGAATCCATAGTTTTACCCGGCGGTATAACCTCATAATAAACGATTCCCTGCCAATACAACCATACACACAGCATCACGTTATTGCGTGTTATCCGAGTTTCGCTATAGTCTGTGGAGCTTGACTACCCTTTGACCATTTTTTTCGCACCTTGTAGGTGATCCACTTTTCGTCACCAGTGATTATCTTTTCAAAAATGCTTCGAGTTTTTTATGTTACAAAAGAGAATCACAAATGAGTACACGATTCATTAGGTTGTTTTCCAGTGAGCTCATGTGGTACCCAAATATCGAGCTTTTTGTATAGCCAAACTTTTTTTAAATGTTAAAACTGTTTTTTGTTCAAACCTCAATTCCTCGACTATGTCGTAATTACTAATATGCTGATCTTGTTCCACTTTTTCAAAAATGGCATCAACTTTATCCGTATGAGGGCGACCAGAGCGAGCTGCATCTTTGACATTAAAATTCTCGGACGAACGAAACTTGAACCAACTTTGTGCTACTCTTACTGAGACTGCATTAGGTCACAATTTTTTTTCGCGGCTTGCGTAGCATTCTTCCCTTTTCTGTAATAAAACTTCAGAATGTAACAAATTGGTCGCCTCGACCAGGGTAGGACCATGTACCCACAGAATACCAGCTTAAAGCTGCTGTGTTTCGTATGGTGAGTGTAGGGAACCGGAGACCCTTTTTACTGGAAATGAGGCATTCCATCTTAGTCCTCAGGGGTGACAATGCATCTGCATTTTGCTTCTTAATTGACGATAAATGTAGATTTCTATGGGCCACAGCATCCACTTGCCATCGGGTTGCTTGTTTGCTTGTTTGTCACCCTATTCTATAAAAAAATTATCGAATTTCTTCGTTAGATCATTTTAGCAGACAGAAAAACAATTGAAAAATGGCAGGAAAGTGTTTTTACTTTGTAGTTTTTTTTGATGTCCTATGTATTATTATTAAAAACAGCCAGATACAAACAGTAAAACCAAAGAGAATTTTCTTAAATTTTATGCTAACAAAATACAAAGAATTCCTTCCCGACCTATTATTTCAATTTTATTATTACTTGAAAAAATTGGGATTTATTTTCGTTAATTATAATTTATTTCACAATTTTTTTGATTGTAAGTTTCATGTGCGGTTGTTTTGTCAACAGGACCAATGGAAGCGCGGCCAACCAGTTCTAGTCTCAGACGTATCCAGTCTCCTAGATAAGGATCTCTGGAGTCCCGAGAGTTTCTCTCGCGACTTTGGCGACACACGTGTGGACCTAGTTAATTGCGCCTCAGGATTAGTGGTGCCAAACCAGCCCGCCAGGAAGTTTTGGGACGGGTTCGACCTAGCTGCTAAGAGGCTAAGGGACGAACGTGGGGCTCCTATGGTGCTAAAATTGAAAGACTGGCCGCCGGGTGAAGACTTTGCGGAATTATTACCGGCTCGCTTCGACGATCTCATGCGCGTTTTGCCACTAAGCGAATATACGTCACGTAATGGAAAACTAAACTTGGCTGCTCGTTTGCCGGAGTGCTTTGTCCGCCCAGACTTAGGTCCGAAAATGTACACGGCGTACGGCGGTGCCGGTGGTACAACGAATCTTCATTTAGACGTAAGTGATGCGGTCAATGTCATGGTACATGCCAGTGCTCCAGCGGATGCGCCAGAAAGGGCACGCGAAGCGGCCAGGGCTGCAGAGGAGGCCGGCGTCGATGTTCTGTCTAGAAGAAGAGCTAGGGTAAAACCCCCAGCGGCATTATGGCACATCTATGCCGCTAAAGACGCGGATAAAATCCGAGATTTCCTAGTCCGGGCCGAGTTGGAACGCGGCGCAAGGCCCCGCCCACAACACGACCCCGTACACGATCAAACCTGGTACTTGGACGCTGCATTACGCGAACGTCTCTACAGAGAGTACGGTGTAGAAGGCTACGCCATTCTCCAATGCCCGGGCGATGCAGTTTTCGTTCCGGCTGGCGCTCCGCATCAAGTCCGGAATCTTCTTGACTGTATCAAAGTGGCTGAAGATTTTGTCTCCCCAGAGAATGTCTCGCGTTGCTTCGAACTGGCGCAGGAATTCCGACGCCTGTCCCGTCAGCACGCCAATAAAGAGGACAAGCTCCAGATAAAGAACATCGTGTACCACGCGGTAAAGGATTCCCTCTGCTGCCTAGAGGAAGCCCTCGACGAAGCCAAGTGAAGTCGACCGGCCCTTCCCCATTTGATCTCAACTTCGAACGTAACATTAATCGCTAAGTTCCGCATTTAAACGTAAGATTGGGAGCGAGTGTGATACGCGCTGTGCGCCGTTCCGTGTAGATGCCATTAAGCGTAAAGTGGATCGTGCGCCGTTTGTGTGTTGTACGTGTACGTTGTAATGTACTCGAAATGTGATTTTAGTCCGGCGGTCGCGATCGGTGTATGTGCAATGTAAATTAGTCTGAATATGGTGATATTGTTGAGATGTGGATATGTTTTTATGTTCCTTAATTGAAATACAAAAAAAACTTTTCAGGTTATTTACAGCTTAATTGTAGTTATAGTGATATGTATGTAATGTGTAAATTTTTAATTCGAATTCCATCGAGTACATATTAAGCAGTATATACTTTTAAGTTATTGTATTGAGGTAAAACACATTCGCTCGAAGCATTGTACATTTAAATACGGCGTGTAGATAAGTTTCTCCTATAATATTAGATTTCTCAATTTGTTTGGTATGTTACAAAAGGAATTAGTTAAACGAGATATGTGACAATTTTATTTTGTCCTTATTGCTGTATTAGATGAAAGCAAGTTTTTTTTGTACTGTGTATATTATGTATGGTTATAAGTTGGAATAAAAAAAGATGTTTATATTAAAAGTGGTTTTTATTTCCTTTGATCTTTGTCAGTATATCATGTCAGTGAAAAAAAAAATGACTCAATATTAATTACTTGTGATCTATATTGAATAAAAAATATTTTATTCTGTTCATCTTGTTAACAAATCAATTTAAATAAACACAAGACTCCTGACATTAGACATCTATGCAGTCTGCATTTTGATTTGCTAAGGAGATTTGGATATTTCACATTAGATTACGTGGTAGAGCCACACTGCAGTTATATTAAGGTTGTAGGTGTTAGCACGAATGGGTCGGCTCGAAATTGATAGGACCGAGCTCTCACGAAATAGGAGTGTAAAATAGCAATTTAATGCTGCTGTGTTTTGTATGGTGAATGTGAGAACTAGAGACACTACTGGAAACGAGGCATTCTATCTTAGTCTTCAGGGGTGACAACGCATGACAAATGTCCATGGGCCACAGCATCCATTTATCATCAGGTGGATTGTGTACTCGTTTGTCACCATTATTCTATAAAAAAGTCAATTATTATTAGTACTTTACCAAAATATAATATATGACTAGCAAATTCTTTTGTTTTATATATTTTATTAACATATATAACAGGATAGGTGGATGTCCAGCGTATATGGACAAATAATGAAGAACTTATTATGTCAATAAGAAAATTAGGAATTATTGAATTTAATAATAAATATGAATTTAATAATATCAGAATAAATTAACCTTCCTTTATTTTTAACCTAGGTCACCTTATGATTAACTCAATTACTTGATAACAGATGGCGCTAAAATTATTCAATCAGGGTTGTCACCAACTAAAATTTCTAATATAGTAATACTTATAGCAAAATAGATTATTTATGGAAATCGGTACTAAAAATAAGGAACCATGTTGGTCTATAACTACCCTTTATAATTTTACAATATTAGGGTTTCGGTTACAAAGTTTATAAGCAAGCTATACTTATTTATACTCTAAATAAAGAACCTTGTAATTCCTTTTAAGACATGCCCTAATTTTACGGCACGTTTTGACTCATAAGATAAGAATTTTGCATAACATTCTTTCGATATGTTGTGTATTTTGGGCTTGCAGGTATCATGACTATGATTACATGATGATCGGGCCATATATACTGCGAGTAATTGATTCTTATTTATTAATTGCACGATTCTACGAACAACAATACGCAATTGAAATATGCCTATTTATAAATAGAAGTCAAAAATGCTGTTTCTACTTTTGTACCTATAACCAAAGAATAAATAATAGTACCTACAATAAGTACAGAGTAAAGTAAGTCCTTACTTCTAATTCTGTGGCAGTACTGCCAGATGTCTATTATCCTTCGATGCTGCTCCCCGTCGATTGTTCGGATATTTTACGTCAACGTAATTGGGATGATGCTACCGCCATCTATAGGAAACTATAAGATTTAATTTATTAATATAATACATCTTTATTCTGCGATGTTAGCGCCTATGCAATGCGATGCTAGCCTATGCGAATCTTACAGCTTCATCTAACTCAGGTAATATAATACAGGATGGGGCAGAATGCAGTCTCTGATTTGAAGGTGAATTGAAAAAAAAACGCTTTAAGATACATAAAAAAGGTTTTTGTTATTAAAAGTAGGTACACATGATGCCGGTTTTTTCGTGGTTCTTTTGAAAATCTTTTCGTCTAAGTGAAGGCCTTGGCGAGCAATACACATATTGAGCCCTTTAAAGAAGATTTTGGCTATTCTTCCAGCATATCTCAAGGAATTCCAGTGATGACGTCATCAATCGCCTCCTTTAAGAGATTCAAGGGTTCGAGGTCGAAGTTTGTACACCTCAGCTTTGAATTATCGCTATAGGAAAAAGTCACACGGGGTCTAATCGGGGGAGCGAGGGGCCATGGAATATCCTCCTACAAAGAGATCAGGTGACCGGGGAAGAGCTCTTGCAAAATTTCGCGTGAATGACGGGCATTAAGGGCTGTAGCTCCATCTTGTTGAAACCAGAAGGCTTCTGTGTCGTGTATCTTGTCATACTCTTCCATTTTGGGACAGGGAAAGTTCTCCAACATCTCACAATAGCGACCGGAAATCACGGTAACGGTTGATCCCTCGGATTCCAAAAAATGACTGACAGGATCTGCGGTTCCTAAAAAATTGTTTTTTTTTAATGATGGTCAGGAACACTGAAATCATGGAGTATAGAGGTAAGGAGGACAATCTCCCATAGGAGAATAGTTGAAAATGTGTCCATCTGTAAGCAGTAAGTTCTAATAACTCTCCACAACAGCGCTCGAGTAGCTACAGGGTATGATAAATCGCCGTAAAATACGTTGAGTGGTTTAGAAAATAAAAATTTTGAAAGCAATAAAATAATTATTGTAAAAAGAATTATGGTGAAATCTGTGCAGTAAAAAAATTGTAAGAAGTTCTTTAAAATTTAGACCGTAGCTACAGTGGCGCCACCCTTATTTAGCGCCTTCCTACGGACACTTTTTTATACAGTCTGTACTCTGAAATGAAATGAAATGAAATAAAACGAAAATAGTATTGTTTAACGGCACCTGCCCTGTCCCCCTACTCGTCTGGAACGCTTCAGTGATTTTTTTGAAAGTGGAGACTGCATTCTGCTCCATACAATAGATGTAAATATTATTATTTTATATTTTTTTATTATTATTAGATTTACATTAAACATAATTTAAATATAAAAATAATTATATAAAAATATTTCTGAGTGCGTCATCTTTAGGTACAATATAGAAATTAAATTAAAATTGCACATTTATTAGTATTGCTACTCAACACTAGATGGCAATTTAATTAATTTTTAATTATTATATTTTCGGAGATGTGTATTAGGAACTATTTGTAGCAATATTTTTTATATTCTAATCACAAAGGCCAAGATAGTTTATGAGCTTTTTTTTTTACAAAGCCTTTTCAAAAATGCAGTGCTTTTGTCCACATTTGATAGGTGAGCGAAGCGTTTATACTAGTTTAGTTAAGAGTTTATGTTAGTTAGTGTTAGTGAGAACTAAAGCCAGCAATCTGAAATTAGGAATTAACATTTTTGGATGCCTTTTTCGCCATCAATTGGTTACTAGAGATTTGTTTATATTTTCAAACACTGGCCATTATTAGTCTGCTATGCTACTGGGCTGGCAAACAATCTTACAAATACCTTCGTTACTGAGTAAAGACTATTTTCATGAATCTCTGCTGTTTTTAATGCGATGTTTAATGAAAAATTTTAAATATTAAAAATATCGTTGGTTCACCATTGATCCTAAGGTCACTTTTACATTAGTCGGCATGACCATCGACAACAAATCCAAATCCCCACTAGGCCTATCATGACCAGGCCCTATAGAAATTCAAAAAATTTAATAACAAAAAATATTAAGGGGAAATAGTAACCCAGCTCAAATTCTAATTTCATCCCCACTTCCCCGCGCGTCGTATGCTATGTACCGACATGTTTGTAATCACTAATACCGTAAGTAGATAGTTCGTTAGATACTTATTTCATTAGGTTTATCATATTTCTGTACCTGAGAAGCATAACACTGTAACTCCATTTTCGACGAAATTGAGGTTTCTACACAATCCTATGTTATTTGCTCCGCTCTTTACAGGCATAAAACAGTAACTGGGCAAAGCCAAGTACTTTTTAATATTTTAAATTTTATTATACTGTATATCTCAAACTATCTTTAAAGCATAACAGGGTAAAGGACCATAAACTAAAAATAGTCTTCACAATCACGTGTATTTTACTGTAAGTGCGGAGTTACATTATTCTGCCGCTAACTGCATCGATGCCGCGAAGCTAGGCGCGGTTTGCCTATAAATAGATCGCGTGAGATACAGTGTTTTATTTCGCTTCTCGCGTTCGTCTAATGCACACGTATGCCAATTTTTATGTAGCGCTTACAATAAAACATCGAAAATGTGCAGTAATCGAACGAGAAAAATATTACAGCTTCTGCAGCCGATTCCAGATGGTAAGTTTAGATAGTTCAGAAGTAATGTTTTATTTATTCATATTAATATATAATACATTTCTTACAAATAATATACCTATGTATTTTTAGAGTCGCTAACCACAGACGAGCAGTTAAATTCACAAACTTTAAGACTGGTTTCAATTGGTAAGTTTTTATTTTTTTTAACTTTCAATTATTATAATATATATAAAATTATACATTTGTATTTCTAATATGTTTATTATTTGTTTACGCTGCAGGTCGCGGGTTCGAGTCCCGCACGCGGATGAAGTTCTTCTTATAGAATTTATTTAAAAATTTATCAGTAATCTTCTAACCTGTTGATTCATGTTAAAATAAAAAAAATCATAACTCCTAACTGCTTTCAATTGGTAAATTGGAAGAAGTTGGAAGTTATGACTATTTTCAGTAGATTTTGTGAGGAAAGTGAACAGATAAACCTTTATTATTTAGTAGTGACGAATTTTCAAACTTAGTAACTATCTAGTAATACTTATATTATAATACTTAACAAAGTCAAATCTTTATATTTTTTTAGAAACAGTAATTAGAGAAGAGCGCTGTTCGTCACCTTTAACAAAAGAACAGCTGCAATTTTTTGAAAACCATGAAATGAAGAAAACTTCCAATATTGCTTGAGAGAACTATCACGAGAGTCGCCAGTAAGCATGTTAAGCCGAGAAGATAGTCCTTCTGTTTTGCACTCCCGAGAAAGTAGCCATTCTCTTTTGAATTCACAAGAAAATGACCCGTACGAGACAGATGCAGACTCAAGTAGCAACTGGTCACCCTCCCCGCGCGTCCGAAAAAATCCTCGATTGACTGTTATAAGTTCAACATCAGATTCGTCTGAATCTAATGTCGATGAAAACGTAAACAACAAGAGAAAATCAAGAAAACGTTTACGTGATCAAAAAAACTGGAAACGTGAAATAGCGAAAACAAAAAGATTAGCGGGAGAAAGGTATGTTAGCGCAGTTTCAAAAACAAAAAAAATAATCGAGAAGAGGAAAATGAAGGAAGCTTGCCCGAATACTTGTAAACTAAAATGCTTTGAAAAAATTTCATATGATAATAGGATAAAACACTTTGAGTCATTTTGGAAAACCACCACAAATTGGGAACAAAGAAGACAGTTTGCAGCTTCATCTATTGACTTAATATCCGTGATGCGACCTCGTAGCCGCCAGAATAATGATGTTAGCCGACGCAAGAAAACAAGAATTTATAATATGTTTATTAATAATGTACGTACCCGGGTTTGCCAAAAAATGTTTCTAAACACGTTTTGCCTTACAGAACAATTCATATCAACCACGCTATCAAAGATTTCGGAAGCTACAAGTTTAGTGCAGCCTGATCAACGAGGAAAGCATATTCCAGGAAACAAAACACCCGATTCTGTAATTGCAGGGATTAAAAACCATATTTGTATGTTTCCACGTTACATATGTCATTACTCGAGAGAAAAAACAACTCGCGAATATCTTGGACCAGATTTAAATATAACGAAAATGTACGAACTATACGTAAAAAAATGTAAAGAAGATGGTGTACCAGAAAATATGATATCGAAGCAGTGGTTATACAGAAAAATTTTCAACGAGCATTTCAATTTGTCCTTTTACTTACCTAGCAATGATACTTGCGACACTTGTGATAAGTTCATATCATTATTGAAGCACGAAACTAATCCCGAAGAAAGAGAAAAAATAGAGAAGCAAAGAAAAGAACATATTGAAGATGCTGATAAGAGGTATGCTTTAAAAAGAGAGAAGACAAAGAAATCGCTAAAGAATCGGAAGGAAAAAAGTAACTCTTATGGTGGACATGCAAAAATGTTTAGCAACGCCCTTGTTAACAAATAGTCAGTCTTTCTATTTAAGAAAACTGTGGACATTCAATGAAACAATCCATAATGACACTGATAACAAATCTTACTGCATGATGTGGGATGAAACACAAGGAGGAAGAGGTGCCAATGAAGTCGGATCGTGCATTATAGAATGGGTTCTTAATTACAAGCGTGAAAACACAGAAGAAATAACAATATGGTCTGATAACTGTTCGGGGCAAAACCGTAACGTTATTTTGTTGTATTGTTACTTTTGGTTATTACAAAACACGGAACTTGTAACAATCAACCACAAATTTTTACTTCGTGGTCACACACATACAGAGGCTGATGTTGTTCATTCAGTTATTGAGAGAAAGAAAAAAGAACTATCTAGTTTTGATGTAGTAGTACCACGTGATTGGAAGCAGTTTGTTAAAATCTGTAAAACTCAGAACCCATTAATAGTACACAACATGAATCTTATGAATGTTAAAGATATTAAATCACTGTCCGTGAATTTCAGTCAAAGGCGTAAAAATTCATCTAATGGTCAGTTTTTCATTTCACAATGTGTGTGGCTACAGGTAAGGAAGCAGAAAGATGGTATTTTATATTATAAAACCAGTTTCCATGACGAAGAGTTCTCTGAGATCAATCTTAAAAAGAATACTAGACAAAACCTTATATTGTCAAACTCCCTGCCACAGGCTCATGAAAACATTCGTCCTATCAGTATTGCGAAATACAAAGATTTGGTGACGTTAACTCAATGGATTGCCGATCCAGAACTAAAAAAGTTTTACATTGACCTACCACATGGTAATCAACCTGATATTATCGAAGAATCTGAAAATCCTGACCTGTGTTATTAAAATTTTTATATTTGTTTAGCTAATAATGTCATTTTTGTCATTAAAGGTATTTAGATTAGATAAAGTTAAAGGTATTTAAAAGTTGTATGTTAAGATAATGTTCAAATTTTGATTATAATATAGGCCTATCACCGTAAGTGTTGCCGAATTTTATTATTTTAAAATTACTAATATACGCAAACATTGATCTCCTTACCTAAATGTTAGTTTATGTCATAAAAATTAATTAGATTACATGAAAAAGTTAAGTATGTTAGATTATGTTCAAATTTTAATTACAGGCAGAACACTGTATGTAATACCGATTTTTTTTGTTTTTTAAAAATAACTGAATTACACAAAGATTGATCTCATCATTGTTAGTCAATTTAAAAGCTTATAATGTAGCCCTTTAAAAAAATTAAAACAGTTATATTAACTTCACTTGTTTTAAATTTTATAACCTCCTAAACCTAAAGATAGTTACTTTTTGAAAGGATATCTTCTATTACGTAAACTTTGCGATTTGGCGCTTACAGTAATATGCTTCTCAGGTACAGATTTATGCCTGTTTCTTTACGCCGACCCAGTCGCTTCTTATTTTTATTAAGGTTATTTCCCATTTTAATTTTACGTCTTCCTGTTGCGTAATGTGTATCCTGATCGTAAATGACACATCACATCTTCCCCCTTCAAAGGCCGAAGCCATAGATTACTGTGTATATACTAGAGAACACTTTCCGTATATATACTCTTATCTATGACACTGACCGGGCGGCAGGAAACAAGCTTCAGGACGCCGATAGTTTAGGTAATTTCTTTTTACAGTGAAAATAATGGTAATAAAAAAACATAAGCCCTGCTTTATAGTTAGTTCAGTTAGTATACAAACTTTCATGATCTAATTTAAAGTATTTTATGAATAACAGCGGTTTATTGTTCAGTTTCGAGGTAACTTTGGATTTTTTTGTCTATCGAGCAAATTTTTTAAATTTAATATTTCCCCTTAAATTCAAATAAAAACAATATTTCGAATATTGATACTGACATTATCTAGTATGTGTCGTAAGTTTATGGGAAAATCAGGTTTTTGATCAGAAACCTTGGCTTTTAATCAAAAGAACCGGAAGAAAACAATATCATTAGTTAATCTTATCAGAAACCTGAAAAAATCCCGTTTTCTGATAAAATTTTGTGATAAAATTTAAGCTTAGATTAGGTTAGGTTTTATTTATTTATTTAAAGAAATAGCAACCGACATTGATTTTATCATATAACTAAAATATTTTAGATTTTTGATCAAGAACTGGATTTTCCCAGGCTTATGATAGCATAAAGTAGTAATATTGTCTTCTTCCGTTTATTAAAAACTAGGTTATACCATAAACCTGCGACATATACTTACACAGTAGTTATGCAATTGACCTCTGCTTCTGCATCCGTAACTGCGGAAGTTCTGCGTGCTATTTGATATCCGTTTCTGCTTCTGTTTCCGCAACTTTTATAACGGAAATTTGATTGGAACTTTGATGACGGCATACCTTTCCCCAAAGTTGCCGACCTCAAATTGAAATTGAAAGTCCAACCAACCTCATCATCAATTTTGAATTCATCACTACAAATATTAGAATCCATGTTGCACTAGTAATAAGAGTGACAATCTCTTTTATAGACGTAATCCACCTTCAGAAGTATGTGGTGAAAATGAAATTCCTTTACCGTTACCGTAACCTTTTACCGTTAGTTCGCCAATATTTAACAGAAGCGTCACCAGTGAGCAATTATTTAGCAAAGCTATTCTTATACATCAAGAACACCGAAACAGATTTCTAGGTCTTAAAATATATATGACCACTACTTAATTTTAAAACTTAATTTAATAAAAAATTATGCTTGTCATAAAATGTACTTTTTACATAGTATTTACAATTCCGCTTCTGCATCCGTTTTTTCTTTTGGCTTCTGTTTCCGTTTCTGTTTCTGCTTCCGTTATGACACTTCCGTTGCACTAGTATTACACAGCGTCGTATGTATAGCATCGTTGTTAGGAGTAGGATTATAAGGATATAACATTGTTACTACTGACGTAATAACCACAACACACACAGTAGTTCGTTATATTACACAGTATTTGTCCAAATTCGATTCGAAATAGCTTTCTATTAAACGGCACTGTCGTAGTTGTGATAGTCTAGGGGTTATGCATTTTCCGTAAATTTTCAGAGAACGTGAGCAATTCAACCATTACCCGCCAATACCCCTGAACTTCGTCATTGCAATTTAAAGTTCTGAAGTGTGATTGTATACCCGTAACTGGCGGACGTTCTGACTTCGTTTTGACGCCTAACGTTTGGTTTCCTTAATGTACCTATGTTATAAATTAATATATACATACATACATAATACATAAAAACTCACGCCTGTCACCCAGAGGGGTAAGCAGAGACTACGGACTTCCATTTGGCACGATCCTGACATACCTCTTTCGCCTCCTTTACATCCATACATCTACGCATACATGCTCGTCGGTTAAGGGTACTTCTAACGTGGCCCCTTTTCAAAATATCGCCAATTTGGTCGATAAACTTTTTTCTAGGGCGTCCCTTCCCGACTCGGCCGTTCACATCTGCCATATAAATTTGCTTTGTCACTCTTTCCTCATTCATTCTTTCTACGTGACCAAACCACCGAAGCATTCCTTTCTTAATCCTGCTCACAACATCATCTTGCATACCACATTTATCTCTTATCATGCAATTTCTCACCCTGTCATTCAGATTCAACCTTAGCATACTCCTTAAAGACCGCATTTCTACAGCATTTATTCTACTTTCGTGCTTCTTCTGCCACACCCAGCTTTCACTACCATACATTAAAGTAGGGACTAACACAGCATTATGAATTACCATACGTGCCTTTTTTGACACATTCTGGTTCTTCATAATAGAGTGTAGTGCCCCATTCACTCTATTCCCTGCATTTACTCGTCGTTCTATATCCCTATCATATCTACCATCCCTGCCAAATACACATCCCAAATACACAAACTCATCCACTTGCTCAATTAACTCTCCTTCTATTCTTATTTCACATACCGTTTTGCTTTCTTCTCTTTCAAAAATCATCACCTTCGTCTTACTTGCGTTCACTTTCGTTTCCCTTTATATATGTATGTGTATAGGAGATATTTGTATACTTAGTTTATTTATTTCATATATTAGTAAAATGTTATATATTACGAAGTCAATTAGCATTTTAATTTTGTTTTTATTCTATATTGCCACACCTACGTCAAATACTCACCACTCCATCACTGGCCGCCCTTTGTATTCTTTTGTGTTAAGGAATGCAATAAAGAATAAATAAATATTATTTCAGGTTACAAGATATTTTCATAATAAAAAAGCAGAATCATTCCGTAAAGTCGTTACGGAATGATTCACACCAGCAAAGAATTCCGCCAGAGTTACAAACCCATTGTAGGTTTACGATATGCTCGTCTATAAAAATATCGTGAAGAAACCTATTAGTCTTCCATATCACGCACCGGAGTAGCGCGACAAACTAACTGCTCCAAAAACTCTTTCAAAACTCATTTTTATTATTAAAAAAATAAAAAACAAATTACAATAAAATGTTAACCAGAAATCACACACGGTTTAATTATTATTGTCGGTGGTTCATCAAATATAGATTTATTACTTATTGTAAATTTATAGATTTATTAATTAATCACAATTTAAAAAAAATATAAATTCGAGTTAAATAAGTAGGTACGAACATATCAAATCGTGCAATATAATCTTATCATCTAATATAGTAGGTACTTTAAATGTGTATTTTTTGTGCGTACATATACGGTATACCTACAATACGCGCCATTTTAAAGTGGGTAATGATCCGGTAACAGGCCGAATAACATTATTTATTTGGCTATTAGGGTTTAACTGACTTCAACTACAATCGGCTGCCCGATTGCGAGCTTGGTTAAAACTAAATGTAGGCGGTTGCTTCTTGTTAAATCTTGGTAGTAAATGAACTTCACAACAACTGGTGGCAATCCCCGCTTTTAACTTGATTCCAATAACATTATAAAGATTTGGAGGTTTTTTTTCAAAAGAATAAACATTGAAAGGTATCGGTAATTATTATAGTTAAATATATAGCTAACTAACATGAATATAGCGACGGTTATCTGATAATATAATAAACGTTGAAAATAAATAAAAATTCATTTATTTCACAATTTTAAAAATTTTCATGAATAAGTCTTGATACAACCTTAGTAAAAATGTTATTATAGTTTTAAAGATTTAAATCTGTCCAAATATAAATGAAATTTGCTAAGCGATATTGCAAGATGTGGGTTTTCACCATCAAACATATTAAGATTTGGAATTCCTTGATGATAGTTAAAATATGATAAATTATATGAAGGTTGCATTTCATCAAAGCACTATGTGATCTGATTAAAATCACAGTTACATATTTCTGTAACTGATTTTATGAAATTAATTACAATATTTGACTTCCCTGTCCTGCCACCATAGCAGTAAACGGATGCATAAAGTGAAACATTACGTCTAAAGTTCTAAGGCATGAAATAAAAAATGAAAGTGTTGGTGTAAACCATTAATATATATTGCAAAAATTTTATAAAACAGAATGATCTGTATACTATTTCTAACACAATTAGTACATCAGAATTTTACAATCACATCAACCTCAAATGTATACATACACACAAATAGAAACACGAATTCATCGATCAAAATTGATCGAAGCACGAATTATCTTATATTATTTACAATCAAACAATAATTAAATATGTAATAAACTCTACACCACATTATAGTATTATCATAATTTAGCAATAAATACAAATTTTATTTACACACAGACATAAAAGTAAAACTATCAACACTTAGCGCAATTTATAATGACCCCAAAGCTAATATATATCTAAAATATGCCTCTTTGTGTCACTAATCGTTGTGGTCTGAAACTATTTTTTTCTTCTT